CAGGACTGGCCTAGGGATATTTTAAATTGGATTTTAATCAATTTTTAAAATAAGAAAAGGCCTATTTAAATATATCTTTTAATTTATTTTAAATTTTGTATATTTGTATCAATTGCTCTGTTTTTTAACTGGCTGTAAGCCGCCCTGAGTCCACCAGGAGAAGGGCGGGATATAAATACAATAAACTGAAACTGAAACTATAAATCTATATTATAATTTACAATCGGGTTAAGATAAAGCAATTCCAAATGACAATTGGCCTTCATCTCAAGGATTTATAGTACCTTTCTTGGAGTTTTTGGGCTCTTAAAAATCATGGAGAAGGCACCAAGCTGGTCATGGATTGCACCAATCTTCTGGCCAGGTATTGTTAATTCAACCTTGCCTTCCTAATCTGGTACCTCCCAAGCAAGTTGAAGGATGCTTTCTGCAATTCCCTCTGCTGGTGGCATATTATAGATAGACACTCTAGTTCCACCAGGATACCAAGGCTGACCTAGTTAATGACTGCCTATCCTCATATTGCACCTGACTGCTGAACAAGCATGTGCTCTAAAGATAAGTTACTGTTTTCTTGTTTTGTAGCACTTTTGTTCCTGTGCTTGAAAATTATTTGCCTATGCCTTAATGTAGATGTGGTTGTTTTTCCATCTCCTTTTTAGTTAGCAGTTGAGGAGAACATTTCCATGACTCCTTTTTACCTCTTACTGGGGAAGCATCGGCAGCAAATGAAAGAGGGAATGGATATTGGGAAAGTTCCTGTGCAGAATCTGCTAGGTCAAGAATCACCTGCTGTTAAAGAAGTAAGAATGGATCTAACTCATACTCGGAATTTATACATTTGCAATGACTTCTTAAGAAAGTGCTCTAGTCTCACCGGCTTGTGTTTTCTCCCCAGCTGCTTCATACTCCAGCACATGTGTTGCCTTCAGCTTCTTTCTTATGTCCTCTTTTTATTCACTCTTTGCTGGTGCCTAGAACAAGGTAAGAAACCTGAGAGGTCCCTCAGATGTAATATACTAAAATGTATTGTCCAATTTTGATTGAGATGGGATCCAAACGCAGAGATACCCATGTAGGCTGCATGTATGCTGCTGTGTTCAGAGATTTACGAGACATCCCATCTTCCCTGACAGGAGTTCTAAAAATGAATCAACTACTGTCACCTATCAATCAAACCCCGAAATCCCCTGTTAGGATTAGATTACTTGCCAAGGCGCAGGATGTGAAACATCCGCGTGTCCTTCCTTTGCCATTTTTTCTTTTTACTTTGTACACTTTCCTTTCTTGTCCAACTGATGGAAAGTAAGTGAAATAACAGCTCAAGAGAGGGATGCTTCCTCTTGTATTTAGGATATATCTAGAAAGTTTAGAAATTTGTGGACCCCAAACCTTCGGCCCTCTGCCAAAGTTGTCTGCAGGAAGGAGGCCAGGACGTGCAATCATGCAATCAACATGTTCCCTTTTTTTACAGTCTTGTATGTGGAGTTTTGATCACATGGCTTGTGACTCTTAACATTGACTTTTTTGACCCTGTTTGGACATCTCTGCCAATGACCATAATCCCTTCAGGGCTGTTCTTTCTGGTCCTTAGAGGGTTGATCCACGTTATTTTTTTTTACTCTTTGGAGCTTTTTCAGGGAGGGGAGGATTTAATCATTTGGAGTATCTCATTAGACACGATGGAAGAAAGAACGTGTGGAATTCATGGAGTTCTTGGAATATAGTCCCAGTTGGGTTCTTCAGATTGCAATCTGGATTTGGTCCTAATCAAATCAATCTGGTATTGATCCGATTTTCTGCAGATATTCTGCCCCAAGACCCTGGAGATTGTCAATCACCAGCCTTCTTGATTTCAGCTTTTCAAATTTCAGCTCTACAAATGCCACAAGGGAATCCCCACCGAATTGCTGCACCAATGTAGCCTTGCCAGGAGGCAAAATATCTGCCAAAAAAACAAACAAAACCCAACTCAAGGCCTCATTATTAATCTCCCAAAGCACAAAGTATCTGACTGCCAAGTATGCATATTAACCTAATAATAGCTCCTCCTCTCCCCCACCTCCCCCCAGCATATACTGCAAATGCATACAATGCTGGCACCTCAAGGAAAATGGCTGGCTTTCCCTGATGTAGCTTGGTATGTATACAAACTCCATCAGTGCCTGTTGTATAGAAAAAAATATATATCTGAAAATACGTATTTGAGGAATTTGTGTTCTTTTTTATACTAAAACTGTTCAGGAAAACATTTAAGAGGAAAGGAGGACTATATGCAGTGGAATGGTTGACTGAGATAACTTGCTGGGCTTTTTTGGCATTATTTAGGACCTCTCTGTTTTTGAGAGAAATAGACGAAATAGACGAATGGCTTACATAATTCTTCTTCTTTTTTTTTTTTTAAACAGCACTAGTGAAATTGCTGACGAAGTGGAAATGCTAAGTGACAGTGAAGAGAAGGAGTCCGAAGAGGAATCTGAGGTTATTGAAGTTTGCCCAGAGGCTTCACAGACAGCAGAATGCTTTGGGGAGAGTGTCTCTAAATTATCAAAACTTCAGGAAAGAGAACTTCGTAAATTAAGGAAATTGGACTACAGCTGGGCCTCTGGACTCTAAACCTGTGACATTTGCAGACTTTTTTTTTACATATTTCTTCCAGTAATTTAATAAAATGCCAAATAAAAGTTAAGCTTTCTTTGTCGCTTTTGCTATTAATATAAAATAAATCTTCAGGGCATTCTTAGACATCGCCCATCATTAGGCTTGAGCATGCTTGCCTAAAAAAAGAGAGAGCTTTGTGGTGAAAACAGGGCTTCTGTTAGAAGAGCCTTTCCTTTTATACGTTACTTTGGGCCAAGATTCAAGAGCGTCGCAATTCAAGTGTTTGTGTAAATAAATGCACCTTATTTTAGACATCGGAAGCATTTACCTGCTTTGTGTTGTAAAAAAATTAATAATAAGGCTGTAACACGGAAGCTAAGGGATCTTTTGCTTGAGAAGAAAAGCAGTAACCCGTTCTGAGCTGAAAGAAGTATTTGCTAATCTGCATTCCTAAAATGTCTAGAGATGCCTGGGGCAGAGTTTGGAAATCGTAAGACATTCAAAACAAATCTCCTTTTGTCAAATGCAGGCAGTAGAAATGAAATAGCTAATGAAGAGGTCATTGAGGATGCTGAAAAATAGCAGTCTGTGCGAAACAGTTGATCAGAAAAGAAAACGGTTTCGAGCATTAAGGGGTGTGTGTCTGTGTATGCTGGGACGAGAGGGCTCTTATGAATTTGATACTGTAAACAATGTTGGTTCAGAATGGTTTTCCCCTTAGCACTGTTTCTTGCGGTAAAAACAGCTTCAGAAACAAAGAATGACTCGCCCAAGAATGTTCTAAGTTGTATAAATCACCAGCAAAACTATTTTTTAAATGATTTGCATTAAAGTTTACAGTTCTAAAGATAAAAAAAAAATGAGGAAAAAAAAAGGAAAATTATTTCTAGTTCCCGACTGGTTGGCCCAGGAGGAGGAGACGGGAGCAGGTCTTGAGACGGTTGTATGGGAGGACTTTGACTCTGTTGCTCCTGAAGATGTGGACAGGGTCTTGGGGAGGCTGAATGCAACCACATGTTTACTAGATCCGTGTCCCTCCTGGCTGGTACTGGCAGCCCGGGAGGGGACACGAGCCTGGTTCCAGGGAATTGT